GAAATAATCGTCGCAAGATCTTGTAATTTGAGGAAATCACTATTCTTAGACACCATGCCACAATTACTTAAGATTAGGTCAAAATCCATGAAAGTGATTTCTAACGCATTCGAATTTTGGCGATCTTCTACACGTAATCAGCTCTTAATTTGTGAAGAGAAATTGTAGATGACATCGAGGAGAGTCATACGCAAGAAGAACTGCTCAAAAATATCGAATAATGTAGAAGTTACAATCGCTTGAACTTGGTCTCGCAAAAGGTTAACTTTTGGGTCAATGGAGTCATTTTCAGTCGTCTGAACCATTGACTGAGCAAACTTGCAATGTGAGGTTTGAAACTCGGCATGAACATTATTGAGGAGACATGAAGATCTATGAAGACCATTTGAAACCTTGAATAATAAATTTTATTTGATAAACGTCAAACCCTAATTGTTGACTTACTGCATAGGAAGAGAATCTGTCTGATCAAACTTCTGAGCCAAATTGAGTATTCGAGAAGACCTAGGATAATATCTTGAATAAAAATAGGAGGGAAAATTTTGGGGTACAACAATTATCTTAGACAACAACTATGGAGCTTTCATACAGATGATCTGGGTGGATTGCTCTTCGATCGACATTGACAAATCAGTAGATTTGTGGTTCATTTCTCTTTTTCTTTGTGTATTCTCTTTTTGTTGGGTTTGTATATGTATTTTCTTTGATCTTATGTATATTTGTATCCCTTGGCATTATATAAAACTTGTTTTACAAATCTTTGTCGATTGTTGTGCTAGATTTTTGCTCTGTGCTTGAAATTTGGGTTGTTATGGACATATACTTCTTGAATTCTTATCTAGGATGATAGTCTGTTAGTTTTTGGATTCTAGAGATAAATTTGAGCTGAAATTCACTTGGGTGTCTGTGATTAATGCCTCTGTGTTGGTTGTGTCACTCTGAGAGATCATCGACGCGATTAACACGATTAACTTCTGTGTTGTTAAGGTGGTTGAGATATTTATCCAGAGGTGATATAGTCGGCTTCTCAATTTGGGTTAGAAATGACTTAGGTTGTGAGTGGTATGTGATGACATTGACGAGTATTATAGGTTGTGTATAATAGATCGATAGGTTTAAGTCTGTGAGGAGTGAATTATTTACATGCTTGATAAGTTTTTCCTTTTTTTCCTTTTTATACATTTAATTTCTTTTGATAACTTTTACCCTTTTAATTTAACCCCTAAACTCATTAACGAATGATTTGTCGAACAACGACTCGATAATCAATCTATGTGGACAGGATATGATATAACCTAAATATCACCCGATAAAATAATATTTTACTTTTTGCTTGCTGCTTTATCGCTCCAGCAGTAGTGGGTTTAAGCATTTGATAGGGTAGATGAAATGCAAACCCGAGAGTTCTCTACTCTCTGAAGAATGAATTCTATTTTTTGTTAATAACTTTAATTCACACGTTTACCTTTTATACAAACCAACCCAATTCAACCACAAACTCATAAACGCGAGAAATTATCGAACGACAATTCAATATCACTAATCCCTATGGATACAATATGATAAAACTAAATAAATACTTACTTTGCTTGCCACTTTACCGCTTTAGCAAAATGATGTCGTTGCCGGGGATTGTTGTTTTTATGTTTCGCATCGCGATAGTTTATTATTTTTTAGTTTTGCACATAATGTCCATATTGTCTATAATGTGTAAATATAAACTTTTTTATATTGATACTTGTGTATTTTTACCAAGTTTGTGAATTTTTACATGTTTTTGATACTTGTGAATATTATGTATATGTTTGTTTCTCTTCATGTTTGCTAAGTGTTTGGTTAGGGTTCGTTGTCGGTGAGTGCTAACTGGGTAAAGAGGCAACTTGGAGAAGTGTGTATAAATAACAGGCGTCGAGCTTAAGACGTAAAACAAATATGTTTTATTGTTTTTCACAGTATTAGTTTAGGTAGTGGTGATTTTTGTTTAAACAAATTGAAATTGGACCAGTTCTAAAAACTCTCAAATCCTCACTTTTCTACTTGTTTAGTTCATTTTCACCTGGTCGTTTAGTTATTTTAATTCTTTTGTTGATTGTTTAGAATCAAATTTTGGTTTGATAGCTTTAAGTGCATTTGGTGATTTTCTAAGTTTGAGTGTTTCAACTTACAGATGTATGATAATGATATTGTTTTGAAGTTGGTACACGACATATACTTGTTTATCGCTTTCTATAGCATAGCATGTTTAGGAAATTTTTCATTTGTACAAATTTCACGTCATTCATTCTTTTAAATTACATGGTTTTGATTGAATCACTTTAGTTCCCTTTTTACCCCTAAATGTAAGGAATCTTACCATTGTTCATATATGATGGAAGCCAAAATTCTTGTTTTAACTGGATTTTATTATGTTTAATATTTTGTTTGTGTTGATTGTATGAAAGTATGAAAATGATCAAGGAATTTTGTTTATTTTGAGCACAACTACCTAAACAAATAGTCAATTCACCTTGTGAGTGTGTGAACTTTTGTTAATCCCTTTTAGCCTTTTTGTTAATGTCTATGTTGTTTTTGAACTTAATACTTGTCTATGAGTACTTGGTTTCCCTTTTTGAATGAATGTTGATCTTTGTTTTCTTGAATCCTTAACCATGATTTATGTATTTAATTATTTCCTTGCCTTAGAAATTAGGGAGTATTCCCACACTGATGTTGGTTGAATTCAAGTTGGGGAGAGCAATGTTTGCTCACTTATGTTGTTGGGTGCTATGCGATTGTGAAAAAAAATAGAAAAAGAAAGAGAAAAAAAGAGAAAAAGAAAGAAAAGATAAATAAAGAAAAAGGAGAAAAGTTTTGAAAAATAAAAAATAAAAAGAGTAGAATAATGTAGTGTTAATAAGTATGTGTTTGGTGTAAAAATTTGGGACGAAAGAAGAAGTTTGATTAAAATTTTGTGTTTGAACTTTTGTGAGTTGATCACTCCCTTAGGTTAAGGCAAATTTTTGTTTCGATTAGCTTTAGGAATTATCCCTTGTTTGTTAATCAAGCCACATTAAAATCTTGAAAAGTCCTTGTGATTCTTGCCTTTGTATTTTCAATATGAGTTTCTGAATGAATACATAATTTAGTCTTTTGTTTGCAAGATTGTTGGATGAGTGTTATTTTTCCTCACTTTTGTGTATTCTTCATCTACCGATGAATTTTTTCTAGGTGTGATTCATGATTAAGCTTGTTTTGTTTTATAATGTCTAGTATGATTTTTGTACTTAGAATTCGTTTCGATTACATATTGTCGTTGTAGGATTATGGTAAGTTTTGCCTTGCGTGTGCGTTTTTGGTTGAACCATACATTTGTTTTGTTTTCTAAAACTTGTTAATTCATAATTTTTTGGTTGATCACTTTTTTTATTTAAGTTTATTTGGTCTTGCTTGAGTACAAACAATAATGTAAGTTGGGGAGAGTTTGATAAGTGCAAATTGTAGCTATTTTTGTCTATAAGTTTTGTTGCACTTATCGATACTTTTTGTTAATATTGTTTGAATAATCTCAGTTTTGTTTGTAAATTTCTTTAGTTTGTGTACATAATATAATAATTGAGTTTTTGTTTAAATATTATACCGTTTGATAGTTTTCTATTTATTTTGTAGGTATTGATGCGTATTTGGAGCATGAGCAATAAAGTATCGAAGACACGACTTCAAATGCGCGATTTTGAGCAATTCATCAATGAATAAGGCTAAAAAAAGGATGAGAAAAATCATCAATTTGGTTGATATTTAGTCATTGTTAGATAGGGCATTGAATAATATTTCCAACGCTTCAAACCGTGCATAAATCAGAGTTACGATTCTCAAGTTATGGAGAAAACAAATGTTATTTTTTCATAACAGCCCAGAGTGCGCTAAGCGTCCGATTTGGGGCTAAGCGCGGTCTGCAATTTCCAAATTCATTAAATAGGTGAAAAATAAATTTTTAGGTTATGGGTTGGGTATTTTTGAGTCCCAACATCATCAACTTCATTTTTTGGTAGAAAGAGGCTTAGAAACAACATTTGGAGGTTGCAATCGGATGATTGAAGTCGAATATCTCATCGATTGGTGTTGACAAACCAAGAAATGTTTGGTTTCTCTTCTTCTCTTATCTTTGTAATCTCTATTTGTCGGAGTTTGTATGTATATTTACCTTGATTATATGTATATTTATTGCTTATGTTATTGTATGAAATCTCTTTTACGAATTAATACTGGTGTTTGTTCTTGATTTTTGCTTTATCGCAGAAGTTTGATTTATCATAGACATATGCTTTTTGAATCTCTCTCTTGAATGAATATCTATTAGGCTCTAGGTTCTAGAAATAAATTTAGGTTTAATATTCATGTGGGTATCGGTTTTGAAAAGCATCCGGGTAGTTTGAGTTGCGCGCGAAATCGCCTCTGAGAGCAATGCAGATGATGTCTCACTTTGTGTTAGAAATAACCTTAATGTGAGCGATATGTGATGGTATTGACAAGTAGTTTAGGTTGAGTACAATTAGGTAGTGAGTTTAAGTATTTGATATGGTAGATGAAATGTAAATCCGAGAGTTCTCTACTCTCCGAAGAATGAATTCTTTTTCTGTTAATAACTTTAATTCCCGCATTTACCTTTTATATAAACCAATCCAATTGAACCTCAAACACATAAATGCAAGAAATTGTTGAACGTATAGCATTAATCCCTGTGGAGACGATATGATAAAACTAAATAAATATTTACTTTTGCTTTCCACTTTAGTGCTTCAGCAAAGAGGGATAAGACAAATTTAGAGTATGACACCCACATCCCACAATGCTGACTCCACCCTATCATACCGATTTAGAAGGAATGGATTCCCACGATCTCGTTGTCTATCCATAAGTAATCCTTACCTTTAGTAAGAAACTCTAGAGTTGACAAAAAGTTGTATTCACCATATAATTATATGCTAGTGAAAGACAAAAAATGAAAATCATAAGTCATACATATGGACCATTCCTCCAACCACCATTTCACTTCATCAATGATAACCCTACGCTTGAACTTACACTTTAAACCCCTGGCAACCTTTTGTATCTTAGGGTCATCCATGACATTTTCAACAGCAAAGGGGTTATTTATCTTGATTTCACCAAAACTAAATCCTACCTCTATCTATTACATATCGATAAAATTGAGACAAGGCTCCATATCACGAGGATCCATTATTACAAGCTCATTGCTAGAATTAACATTACTAAGTTCTACATCGCTAAGGTCTTCAAAGGGGACACCTAAATATGTGTTTCTTTTGTTCTCCATATGCAACCACAAATGAAAAATCATAAATACAAATGATACAAAGGAAATACCTTAGTTTAAAAGCAGGGTATCAGAAGGTCTTGATGAAGGTCATTTGAGAGAAACAAACAAAATTCCCAAACTCCAAAGAGAAAAAAAGAAATAGCCACAAGAAACTCTTTCTCAAAACACTTTTTTTTAGAGCAAATAAGAATAAATTTGTTTCGAAAAAATTGTGAAAGTACAAATGTCGATCTAAAGATCCAGGCCGCTAATAGACAACAAACACTAGAAAGACAAAGCACACCAATTAAACATATAATCTAGTACAATAATCAACTAACTTCACATTGCAGGAAGCTCTCAAACGTACATTATGAATAATGTCTTGACTATTAAGCTCTTTTGTGGTCAATCCTTGAAACGTTCATTTTGAATCACATTACTTTTCCCATATACATAAATATATAGGATGCACACGTTCAGAAAATGATTAGGCAAACATAAGATTAAAGGGGCCATGGCCAAGCAGAGGACACGACAAACTACTTGTGTAGGTCCTAATGATGGCAAGCCCTTAGCTGTATCGAAAGCAATGCTACGTTTTTAACCTCTTCCATTTCAATGCGACAGTGAACTGATCCATTCCATTATTTTGCTACCCAAATCCTCATCTATAAATATACGACACTTTCCCCATTTCCATTCCACAATCAAATATTCTCTTTCATCTTACACATCCTTGATAATAAACACATAACCATGGTCATAATTTACCCTTTAAGAAACAATGGTGTCTTTTTTATGTTATTATTATTATTGTGGATTCTCGTATCCGGTGTTTTTGTTTGGGCACGACCAGCAAGTTTTGAACAAGACTTTCGTGTGACATGGTCTGAGTCCCATATCAAGCAAATTGACCAAGGCAGGACAATCCAACTCATTCTAGACCAACGTTCTGGTAAGGTTCCAAATGTCCAAAACTTATATAATATTTTAATATATAGTTTAGATAACTTATGTTACATATATAAAATATATTTCACAAGGTTGCGGGTTTGCTTCTAAGGTGAAGTACATGTTTGGACGTGTTAGCATGAAGATCAAACTTGTCCCTGGAGACTCTGCTGGCACTGTAACTGCATTTTATGTAAGTTCAACTTTATTACTCTTTGTTTAAAGATAAATAAGTGATGAAAAAACTGAAACATAAATGGTTGATTTGTGGTAGATGAACTCGGACACTGACTCAGTTCGTGATGAGTTGGATTTTGAGTTCTTGGGGAACCGTAGTGGACAACCTTACACAGTTCAAACAAACATCTATGCTCATGGAAAGGGTGATAGAGAACAGAGGGTGAACCTTTGGTTTGATCCTGCTGCTGATTTCCACACTTACTCAATCTTGTGGAACCATCACCATATTGTGTAAGTAAATATATTCATTAACCATATGCTGAATTAATATAGTTAACTATATGTTTAAAACGTTGAATACAAAATTCAGGTTTTACATTGATCAAGTTCCAATAAGAGTGTACAAGAATAATGAAGCAAAGGGAATACCATACCCAAAGATGCAAGCAATGGGAGTATTTACAACATTATGGGAAGCTGATAATTGGGCAACAAGAGGTGGATTAGAGAAAATAGATTGGAGTAAGGCACCTTTCAGTGCATATTACAAGGACTTTGACATTGAAGGATGTGAAATTCCAGGACCATCTACATGTGGCAACAACCCAAGAAACTGGTGGGAAGGTGCTGAATATGAAACTCTAAATGCAATTGAAGCAAGAAGGTACAGATGGGTTCGAATGAATCATATCATCTATGATTATTGTCAAGATAAATCTAGATATCCAATCACCCCACATGAGTGTTTTGCAGGCATTTAAAAAAACTATACATGTATGCTATATTAATTCAACTCGTCGGCAACAATTAGTGGTTCACAACATTCCTGCGACATCTATTTACACTGTTTTTGTTGTGTTGTATAAAGTAAGTGTGTATATTATATGGGCAAGTTGTATAAAAGTCAAAGCCTCTTCTGGCTCTTTGTAAGCATTGTTTGTGGTATAAGAAAGCTTGTGTGCATTATTGTGATCAACTGATGAATAAATGTGTATTCATTTAATTGTTACTATTCTTGTTATAAGTGTGAGTCACTTTAATAATGTATATGCTTGATTTACTTACTAGTGACACAAGCAAGCTTAGTGTAATCAATTGTTTGACTACTATTTGATAAGTTAGCATGAATAGAAGAATGAGCATAAAGAATATTATTTCTTATTCTCTTGATAGTAATCAATGTATTTCATGTCTTGCTTCAATTTTATTTAATGTAATCGTAGTTGATTGTGTTTTTGAAAAATCTCCTCATTGCTGAAAGTTTATTATTATTTATTAAACTTTTGGTTATTGGTTGGTTTTAAAAAACTAGCCAAGGTTATCCGGCAGTTAGAAATTATAATTAGCAGTTGTGAAATCAAGCGGATTTTTCAGTATACGACAATAGTTACAAGATTGTGATTGTAAGTAACACATTTACAACCATACTCTACATAATAACGTCTGGACCCGCGTGATTATATATCTTTTTTAACTGATGTTAAATATCTTTTTCCTAATAGTGGATAGAATTTGAAGCGCAGTAAAATGTGTAACACCCTAACTCCGACGTGTAATTTATAACATAAATTATAATATTTTCCAACAAAGGGTATCACACATTCTCAGTATGAGAATTCTTTCATCAATAAAATATATTGCAGCGAAACTCGACAATTAAACATCATACTTCAAGTTATCATTTTCAAAATAAAGCGTTTGGTAATATAACATAATCCAACAAAACATTAACTCAAACAATTAAATGACTCGTTCTCAGATGTTACAAATAAGAGAAATCACAAACTAAATAATAAAAAATGGTAAATAAATGGAAAAAAATTCACGGTCATCTTCCGACTCATATCAACGATTACTACTTTTGAATATATATATATATATATATATATATATATATATATATATATATATATATATATATATATATATATATATATATATATATATATATATATATATATATATATATATATATATATATATATATATATATATATATATATATATATATATAACAACACGCAGAACAACACAAACAAACAACAAAAAGGGGGGTGGGGGGGGGGGGGGGGGGGGGTGGGTTTGAAAATACGCTCAAATATATAAACAGTGTAAAAGAATGCAAATGTAGCATTACATAACACAATAATCAAATACACATTTTAATCCATGACAAAAACTAAATCACAACACCTTTATGTATGTAATGTGACTCACAACTCGATTCAATATATGTGGTACCAATTTGGACATCAGAGGTTTATTATTGATCATGTCCACTTAACAATGGTTCCTCTTCGAACCGAGTCTCCAATTCTAAACCTCAGACTTAAAACTGGTCCCCACTTTTAAATCTGTGACTCGCCTCTTTCAACACTCTCATGTATGATGCATACCATACAAATAATGCAAACAACACATATGGTTCCACTTCTAACAATACACGACATCTCATAGGGCAATCGTCGTAGCTCTCATTCTGAACTACACACCTCGACCTCAACAACATATGATTATATTCATTAGTACATAATTATACCAACAGTCCACAACTCATACACATAATTTTAATTCTCAAGATATAATTATGTAAAATATCTCAATTATTATTAAACTCATCATAGTAATTCACCTTAATAACTTAATTTCATCAAAACATCTAAATAGTAGCCAAACATCATCCACACTGGAAAACAACATTGAAAACTAGATCGACTGTTTATAAACGGCCTCGGACGCTCGTGACAACCAACTCATCACCAGGATGACGACCGTCACCACCCATCTCTCCCTCTCCTCACAAACTTGTCACGTGGGTGACAATCGATAGATAATTCCTACTTGGGAACCATGACGGTTTACCCGTCACCCAACTGACAACCGTCAGCCTTCATAGACGCATAACAAATAACTTGTCACGCTCGTGACGACCGTCACCCTATTGCAGAAAATAGAAACTACATTTTCAGTCATGAGAGCTCATTCCAAGCTCCAATTTCGACCCACAATCGCCTAAATCGACAAGAAAATAATTGATACATGTTATAATTTAATTAAAACATCACATATGCATTATTAACATCCAATTTCATCAAATAATCATGAATTCAAGGTTATGTTCATGAGATCAAAAGATATCAACGGAAACAACAACATTCATATTTATATCAATACATCAGGTATAAAGTAATACCCAGGACACAAAATTACACATCAATTACAACAATTATCATATCACATTCATACTTTTTTCAAGAACACACAAACATCAATAAGGGAGAAAAATATTTAAAAAAAAACCTAAAGGAGAGTGATGATCCCTCTCTACCCTTCATGAAATTGTCACCTATATTCAATTAATTCTCCTTTACTTTAATTTTCCAACAGCTAATCAAGATCTATGGCTTTGGTGTTCTTCTACTCCCTTAAAGCCTTGTTATTGCTTCTTTTTCCTGATTTTTAAAACTTCTACGTACTGACAAGTTTGTCTCCCCTGACTTTACTATTTATTTTAAGCTAAAATATAATTAACTCTCTTTTCACAGTTTTACCCCTCACTCACCATTACTTTCACTTGTTTTTCTAATAATTCTAATTGTTGTCCCAATTTCACTACTTCTCTTATATTCTTATTATTATATTAATTTAATCAAATAAAACTCCACTAAATTTCAATAATTTCCCAAAAATCATATAACACATGCTATCAACAAAATAATTAACTAAAAGCAATAAAAATTTAATTAAATAAATTAATCGAATTCAGGGTGTTACAAGTTTCCCCACTGTAACACGGTGGGAGAACTGACTTTTAGTTTTACGTTTTATTGTAAATGTTGCGGATAGCAAGAGTCGCCACCTACTTTTCTTTTATCCAATAATGGAAAGAGTGAAAAGAACATGAAAGACCTTCGAGAATTTTCTGAGTAAGGGGGGTAGGTTATGAAAAGGGAAGGTGTTAGCACCATTTTCATCCGTAGTTATCTATGGACTCTTAATCGCTATCTCACTTTTTGAAAATGCTTTGTGTTTGTGTGTTTTGAAAATATTTTGAAAAAATGCCTAAGTGCGAAATTTTTGTAATGATTCTCGTATCGTTGAGAATGCATACAAAATGTTTATTTTGAAAATATTTGTTGAAAAATTGTCATTATGTGAAAAAATGTTTTTGAAATGTTCGCGAGCAAGTGATTAAGAACTATCTACCTACTGAAAAGTCTTTTGTTCTTTTCCTCTTCCTTTAGATAGTGATATTCTACCATTAGTTAGTAGGAAGCTCTATCGTTGGATGTTTGAGGGACATACGCGGGTCATAGTACAGTTATAAATGCAACATATAGAGATATATTTAGAAATTTGAAGGGACTATCATCATGTATTCGTAGGCAACATCGAGGGACAAGATCATTTACTGAAGGCAGCATCGAGGGGTCATCGAGGGACTATGATCTTTATATTGTCCTGCAATAAAATTATGTTTGGCTAAATTCCCCTATATCGGTATGTAAATCTTAACCGAAGAGATTCGGTAATTAATTGGCATTAATATTTTTTACAAAAGTACTTTCTGGTTTTAATTTCAAATTTGGATATTTAATTGTTTTTTTACGATAGTAAAAGACAGTCTAAGGTTAAAATCAACAGAGCGAGAGTTTGAGGTTTTAACCAGATAGTGGTTATTAAACATTAATTTTAAAAACAGTGAGAGCGCTTTAAAATTAATTGGACTCTAATTGTTTTCAAAAAATGCTTTTGAATTTTAAAATGAAAAAGCGAGAGCGCTCATTTTGATTTTAATAATATGACCTGAATCGATAGAACGAAAGTGTGAAACGATTGTTTTTAAATAAATATTTTCCACTGAAACAATGTTATAATACTGAAAATAAATGCCAATGATTTATTTAATCTCTGAAGTTGACAAACTACATATCAGTGTCTCGTTATTAATTGTTAGATTTTAGTTAATTCCCGATTAAACCCAAACACCTAAATTTTATAATTAGCCTTAGCTTTACACAATGACCCTAAGATAACAATAGTTTGACCATCAGTCCTTGTGGGTTCGATATCTTTTAAAACTACGCGATAAGACTGTGTACTTGCAGTCACTACACCCGATAGACTCATAAAGTCGCGATCAAGTTTTTGGCGTTGTTGTCGGGGACTGATTTAGTCAATACTGTAAATCCCTTGTTATGCAGTATAGACTAAGGCAATCGATTTTAATTTATTTTAGTTGTTGATTGTATGCCAAGCACTCGCTCTAAAGGTGAAGAATTAGAGCAACCAATCGACGAGGTCGAGCATTTTGTTAATGTAAGACGCCGAAATAGAGAGTATCAAGCCAAGTAAAATCTTCCCGAATTCAATCTTCCCAACCTTTCTCTTCCTGACCAAAGAATGACTGAAGGACCCCAAAATCGTCCTTTGAAGGATTATGCTACCCCATCGCAAGAGGAACCTCACAACAGTATTGTTGCTCCCACTATCACACAGAACGATTTCGAGTTAAAGCCTTCACTATTGCAAGCTGTTCAACAAAACCAATTCTTAGGATATCCTACAGACGATCCAAATCTTTATTTATCCGTGTTTGTGCAATACACAGACACAATAAAAGCAAATGGTGTCATCCCTGAAGCAATAATACTTCGTCTTTTTCCTTTCTCATTAAGAAATAGAGCTAGAGCATGGCTCTACTCTCTACCATCCAACTTTGTTATCACTTGGAACGAATTGAAGAAAGTTTTCCTAGCGC